AATTTATTTTACATTAATTTTTGTAAATATATTTGTTATTGTGAATCTTTAAAAGATAAATCTATTTTTTTTTTTTTTTTATACAATTTAAATTATGGATACGATAATTCATAAAAAAGAGTAGAAAATTCCAACTAAAGAAATTTCGTCCCAAGACTCTAGTAATTTGCGCATATAATTTTCTCTGAGTGTACTTTAAATGCAAACTCATTGGTGAATGGTCATTTGGCACATCTTCTCACATCTCTCACGAAACATATTGTAGATATGTGTTTATTGTTGTTGTAGACACAGAATATCTCTTTCCCTCTCACTGTCACTCTCTCACAAACTGTATCTGTGTCTCTCTTTATCTCTGTGTGCGTGTGTTGCTCTTTTGTATATCAAATTTCTCTCTATATCGCCGCCCTCACACAGACAATGATAAAACAGCAACCAACAACAAGAACAACAGCAACAACAATGAAAACACCAGCAACAACAGCAACAGCTACAACAAGCAGAACAACAACAACAACAACATTACATCAGAAACAACGTCAACTATGCATAGCCATATAGTCAATGAATCCCGATCCGAATCGAACTTCAATCGAACAGGAACGCCCATGCCCTCGTCTGCGCCATTTTTGGGCAATTTTCATAGAAATTTCGATGAGCTCTTTGCCAGTTCGCCCTTCCGCTCGAAAATCTTCGAGGAGTTTGATAAATATTGGCGCAATTTCGAGCATAGAACCACGTCCGACAGTTTCTGAATATGCCCACATATATAGGAAAATACTCTTGATACGCACGCCCAGAAACCTTTGTTAATGGAACCGCAAAAAAACGCTTTAAAAACAAAAACAAACAATAATAAAGATATATTTAAACACAATCCTTTCCCCTAGCCTTACCTCTACAGCATGCAGCCTACATATAACTAAATGAATACTATTCAAAATTTATGTATATGTTTGTCCTAGGCAACTGTTAAATAAAAATAAACAAAAAGATATAAAAACGTTTTGTGAAAATTAGTTAATTGTTTTTATTTTCTCTTTCGAAATTAATACAAAATAAATCCAATTTATATAGTGTTGTTGAATGTTTAATAAATGATCAATTGATTAACAAAACTCAATTGTTATTTAGTGTTTATTATTTTGTATGCATGATCCATATAAATATTTATCTATTTATCAATATATATATACATACATGATTTAGCTTTAAGCTCTGTCATCGATAGATTTGTTTTGTGCTAAGCGCTTGTAAATGATGCTTGACCAACTGACTAATACTGTGAATGTCCCAAATATGCATATTTACAAACATATATTGAATGTAACTAATAAACCAACATTTCACTCATAATTCATAATTTAAGCATTATTTAAAATATATATATTCATTCAATAGAATGGACCATAATTGATGATCAATAAATTAGCTTATAAAATTATTAGTAATTTAGTGGCATTCATTTTAATATTTCTGTGCTCATTGTGATCTAAATACTTCATATTATAGACTCATCAGATAAGAATAATTGCTCAATTGAATCAATATTTTAAAAGAGCTTTATTATACATTTTGATTTCTGATTTAATAATAACTGATTGGTTGAAGCTTTATATTCAATAACTCCGAAAGCTCATTAAAGCATTAGCTTTTTTAATTAAATCAAAGATAAAAAGCTTTTGAAAAGCATTAAATCATTTTCCGACTCAATCATGCGATGATTGCTTAAAAATATCTATAATGATTTTTCTGCTTTGATTATGTGTATAAAGCACGACTAAAGTAAAAATCTCTTTAATATTGTATGCTTATATTTGCTTTTAAGAATATATATATTAAATAATCAACGTGAGCTTTAAGCTCTTTCTTATACTGTTTCTAATGAACTAAAGCTGCTAAAAGCTACAAGCTTTTCAGTACGTTCTCCACATCAATTTTAATCAATGGGAAAAATAGTTTTCTAATCTTTCAAATGTTCTCACTTAAATGTATTTATTCTCTTTTCACTCTCTTCCATTATATCTGTTCCTATGGCTCTGCAAATTTATTTCGCCTGCCCACATGTAGCTAGCATAATAATTCTTATTGACATAAATTTATGACATTCAGATGCAAAGAATTCCACAAAATATTTTCCAACTAAAATTCACGCCAGAATATTTAAAATAAATGCTACTAATTTAATACAAATTTATTGGCTGACAAAGCAATCGTATATATATTATTCGTATATATGTATTAAGAGTCTATCAGGCAAATGTCTTTTATGGGCTCATAACGATAATTATTAAGCTGTTTTGTTTCTGATTTCGCATCTTCATCTTGACTCTGCAACTCTGCGCTCAAGTGTTTCCACATTGAGAACTGCGAGGCCCCCCCCGATTGCCTCCAATGGCCCCTCGGCTGGCAATTGAGTCGGCTTATCTGGGGCGCTGCAAGCAATTGCACTGGGCAGGCACACAAATCGCGATTAAACGGAAATTTTAATTAATTCCATTCAATTGGCATGACAAGGGAAACACGGACAGGGCGGCAACAAAAACAAAACAAACAAACAAGCGATTCGTTTGTTTTCATTTTTGTTGTTTTTGTTGTTGCAGTGAGACAATTGAGCACAGGGTTCACTATTTAGACTAAGTGCAGCATGTGGCATGCGTCTAGCAGAGAGAGAAAAAAACTAAACGAATGCCAACAATTTTGATAGCCAAAGCAATTAAAACGACAGCGACGCCAACGTCGACGACGACGCCAACGCCGATGCCGATGCCAGCGCCGAAGCCAGCGCCGATGCCAGCGACGGCAGCGAAGTCACATGTACGGCAACAGCGACAGAAGCAGACGCGATTTCTGCTCTCGCCGCAGCAGCTGTTGCAGCAGCAGCGCAAGCGACGCAGCTGGTCCGAGAGCGATCTGCTCAAGGAGATAGACAACGAGCTGCAGCTAGCCAAGGGCTTTCTTTATGCCAACGGTCGGTCAAAACTGAACCCTGATCTGTATATAATACACATATACATATATGTCTATATATTCCTTGCCCTTAACATGTCCATCCAATCCGTGTGTCTGCCCTCCAAATGTCTCTAATCCAATTTGTTTGGGCAAATGAGCGCAGCTGCTTGCTAATTGGCCAAAAAAAAAGAAACAAAAAAAAAAAAAAATGAAAAAAATATTCTAAACTGTTCTGCGCTCATTTTCCTCATTTACTCTTACCTTTGCACAATTTTTGTTTATTTTTAAACTCCGTATTTGCACCTGCCGCCGCAAAGTATGCTAGCGAATCTTTGTGAAATGGAAAACGAAATTGTGTATACGACCTGTGCAACGCGAACTTGTTCATGGCGTGAAAATGTATCTTTATCTGCCAGCAATATTTACGTCACACTCACTCACTCTCCCTCTCTCTCTCTCTCTGTCTCTCTTTCTCTCGCTCGCTCAGTCTCTCTCTTCGTGCTCTTGGCGCTCCTGATTTCCTGTCTCTGTTTACGAAAGCATCAGCATTTTGTTTATGCTGTGCGCCGCAAGCGGAAAATTGGAAAATCAAATTTGTTGAGGGAACAGCTAACGTATTTGTAGAAGTAGTTGTTGTTATTGTTGTTGCCTTTGCGCTCACACAAATTGAGTTTCATTTTAGTATTTTCTGTTTTCGAAAGAAAATCCAAGCAACTTGTACAAGATTCTCGCCTGGCGTAGTCGTCGTCGTGTTTAAGTCGTGTGCGCAACGCGAAGGCGCGTGAAAAAATCAAAAACAAAATATATATATATACATTATATATAGATATACATATATATATATTCGAATCGGAGGCAGCGGCAGCATTTCTATATTTCCACTTGCACACATCAGAGAAAACGAAAAGAAAAGCAAAAGCAAATATGGGGCAGGGTTAGTCGAGCGTTATTTCCATGCATTTGCTTAGCGCGCTTTTCTCCTCTCTCCAAAATTCAATTTGTTTGCAGTGCAGTGCTCAAAGAGAGAAAAAAATAAGAATAAAAGAAAAGTGAAGTGTTGCTTGTTGCAAGTGTTTCGTTTCGYTTCGTCTCGCGTCACAATTCCCATTCTAATCAGATCTCTGCAACATTTTTGCAGAGCACACACAAAACAACACAACAATGTTTGCGCCCAAGTTTAAAGCACGCGCACCAACTGGATCAGGTAACAGAACATATACATATATATGGCTGATCCCATATTGATGCTACATCTGCTGTCGGATGCATCACGCTGTGTGTGTGTGGGCTGGTTCAAAGGAAACGCCCAAATGCGTGGGTGTGGCACTTGCAAACATGACGTTTTCGATGGGTTTTTTATGAATTTCACTTAAGAGCTTTGTAAATTTGTTGTAAGAATTTCATTTCCAAAATTTTTGGAAATTGTGTTTTAGTGTGTGTGCGTTGTAAATGGATGATAAAATGAAATTTGTGAATTATGGGAAGTTTATGGAGACTTGAGTGTATTTCTTTTTCTAATTACAATGTAATAATAGACAGATTTTGATAACTTTGTTAATATTTTGAAAGGGTTTTAAAAGAATTTTCGATATTATTTTGCTCTCCTTTACCTCTTCTCTGCAAATCTCTCTTTAGCTGCTGGTTGCTTTATTTATTTTATAAATTTTAAACTATTCCTTTGGACCTCCATTCTAAACATTTATATTATAAAATTCTATTATAGTTAAGCAAAATTTTCCTTTACTTCAAATTGCCTACAGATTTTTGCAATAAATTCGAATGGCAAACATTTGGCTGAAACACATATCGATACTTATTTATATAGACATTTTGGCATTCTGTAACAAAAGTTGCAGAAAATCGAAAAAGTAGTCAAAATTAATTAACTATAATGAGAAATTCTCTAGAATTTGTAGAAATAAAATGAATCTAATTTCATTCAATAAATCATTATAGCCAAACGTAACGAAAGTTTCCTAATATTGTTTAAGTTTTTACTCAAAACATTTTTCGGATCGAATCGAGCCTTCTCGAATGAAAATAAATACAATTTTCACTACTTTGCTGATGTAAAATATTTCAAAGTTAGCTCAAAATTTTACTTGATACTGGTTTCTAATTTTATTGCGAATTTTATTGTAAATAATCTATTATTATTCCAAATATACCGATTCTGACATTCTTCAAAACTTCATTGTAAACTTTAATCAGAATTTCGTATTGGGCTTTATTCCGTACCGGACTACTTTAAAATTTGTCTCTTAGTTCAAATATAATTATAGAGGTAGTTCAATTTCTTTACAAAATTTACGTCGAATTTCATTGTCAACTCTACTCTGAAATTTATTCCGAACTTTAATTAGAATTTCGTAACTTTATACGAAATATTTACAAATTTATTAACAATTCTACTCCTAATTTTATTCCTAATTTATTTCGGGCCATGATTTCTTTTCATTTCATCTATAAATCTTTAATTAAATCATTTTTAATATTTATTTTCTACGTTTTAATGAACCCATCAGTCAGCTTTCTCTTTATACAGCCTTTCGTTAATATCTACTAAATTATTTCTTTATTTATTTAAGGCACGATTTCTAATCAACTTTTGAGCCATTTTCTTTTTATATTGAAAATTTATTGGCACGTATTTATAGATTATTTTCCTTTCAGTTAGTTTTCAACTTTTCACTCTGCCGATGATCAAGATTATGATGATGATGATGTTGTTTGTTAATGATCTTGTTTGTCTTTCTACTCTTTATTTTTTTGAACTTGATTTTTGGCTTCGCACATGTTTATTTCAAATATTTCACATTAGTTAAGGTTAATTGTGCAGTCCAAAAA